GTCACTCGTCGTAGATTTTTATACTCTCTATTTATCTTTCGTATCTGACATCTTACATCTATCTATCCATATTTCTTTTAGTCTGTCAATTTCAGACTTCGCTATGTCATGAAATTCTAAATAAATTATCAGTTTAAACTGACTCATACCTTTTAATGATTACTTAATGTTTTGCTCAGTTTGTAGTGACCCTACTTGCTGTGCCAGCGTTCGCGGATTCGAGTCCCGCTGGGGGGATTCATTTGTGTGAGGAGCACAAATACTTGTACTCTAGTCATGGGTATATTATAATATGTACCTATGTATTTAAAGTTATATATGTGTAGTGTATCAACTATCTGGTATCCATAACTCAAGTCTCGTAGCTTACCACGGAACTAGATGGTGCTCTATGTTAATTGTCCCAGCATATTATTTATTATTATTTGCAATTCGATTTCTATTTTATTTGAATTTATTCATCACATTCAGAAGATTTAACTAGATCTTGCGAAGGTCAATGTGTTGAGTAAATAATCGCACGGGCGCCATCACCGACAGTAACAAGTCATACTGAAATTAATTATGTGAAAGTTTGTGAGTATGTGTGTTGGTTATTTATTCATGCTGTAACGGCTTAACAGATTAGGGTGAAACTCCGAAAGGGGATAGCTTACATCCTGGATTACCATATTGGCTTTTTTTTAATTGTTAAACATAAAAATTTTCCAAATTATATATTATCATATATGTACTTTCATCTGGTTTTATTCATTTATTAGCTAGAAATTGATCGCTAATCCAAAGTTTTTATAATAGTAATGAAAGTTGATCCCTACATTATTACAGCTGTAACTGTACTTGATATTGTATATAAATTCAATTTCATTTTGAATTCATTTTGTTTTTTGTTCCCAAGCGACGATGAAAACAAAATATTTGAAATCAATCGATAATATTCCGGTTCATTAGCCGCTCAAGTATACTTGTTGACACAGTCTGCCTCGATTTTCATAAATTTTAATCTATTTTATTTGGGTCTAGAACTTGATTTCTTTGGCGTGACCGTTAAAATGTTTAGTGACCGACTTCAAAAGAAGATGTTTTGTGCATTTTACATGTTATGCTTTTAAAAGTACCTACATTTGCTGTCATTTGTATTTAATTAAAAATAGCTTTAAGCTTAAATAAATGAGCTTTGGCCGTATTTACTCCAACTTATACGAGTATTTATATTATATTATTATGGAAATAATACATACCTACTTATTAAATTAAATGTGAATCCCCTTATATTTGCGATTATAGTTAAATAGAATGAACGCAAATATATTATGATCTTATAAAGTGTCGCTATACGTGTTTATCGTCTGTCTGAAGCTTCGACCTTAGAGATTATATTTATATAACTGATAGAGACTTGCCCTGGCTTTGCTTGAAGTTGTTAATAATTAAAAAAAATATCCTCATAAAGATCTGTACAATGTTTAAGAGAAGGAAAAATCAATTAATCGATTAAGCATTTGTAACGAATTTCAAGTAGAATCTATATAGAATTATCATACAACCAGTGGATATCTTTTTTTAAGTTTAATTAAAAAGTTGTAGGTACACTCAAACATACATAATAACTTACAAAAAAATTACTGGCCATAGGGATGATTTTTTTTTTTAATTTATATGGTGGGTCCATTACTTTTTTTAATTTATTGAACATCATTATAATCGCCAATAATAATAATAGCCGAAATTATCACGTAACATACACGTAATATCTCAGTAGGTATCTCATCTTTTTTTAACTCGGTTAATAAAAATAGCATTTGTCACATTTTAAGTTTTCATGGGAGTCCCATTTAATACTTTCTTAGATTTACGCGAATATCTGTTATTTAAAATAAAATAAGAAACTCGGATTTTTTGGGGGATTTATTTTGATTTTTGGCTTATGACCCTTTGAATGTTTTACAATAAACATGGTAATGGAAGAAACTATGTTTACTGTAAAACCTATTCTTTGTTGGGCCTGTTTAGTTAACCCGATTGAAATAGTTTGTGAACGTAAATATGATATCAAAATACTATTGTTATTATTACACGTAATATAGCACACGTGTAACGTGTAATATTTTTAGTTTCACACGTGTCATGCAACCGTATTATACTTGGCGTTAGTTCGCAAGGTAAATGTCAGGGTAATGTGATGTTACCGCTAATATGAGATTTTAATAAAACCATAGAGTCGCATTTACTACTACGTATGTATTATATCAAAAAAACTTAACTTTTAATGTTAAAAGCCAATGTCATTTGTACAAACTTCCTTATTTCCTTCAAAAATGAAGAACTTCCTTTTAGGACGAATTTTTGAATTTTTTTCCTTATTGCTCATATTTGCTGTATTTGAAAGTTGTGTAATTCTCATGTTTCTAGTTTTAGAGCATTTCCTGTCAGTGGGTCAGTGAATAAATGTAAGTTTTTTATTACGTAGATAAAACGGCTTGGCCTGGCTTTGACCAGCTGACGTACATGTAGTAACTAGTAACATAATATTATATAATAGTACATGTTAGTACATATTTTGTGTATAAATAATATCGAAATCTTTCTTAGAAGAATAATTATACGTACGAAATTTGATAATTTGAAGGAAATTGAGCTTTATTGGTATACTTGGGCGATCGTGTTGGCGCAGTGATTAGGAAATTTTATTAAAAAAAACCTTAGATATATGTATAATGATACCTATAGATGCTATTGGAATCCGCCGATAAGGAATCTTTCTTCTATTTTTAATAACATAAGGAAGATGATTAATTTTACTATTACAGTAATATTATGATGTCAAAGTTTCTGAGTGAGTCTTCTCGAGAGTTCGTTGTATCTTCTTAATAGATAGATTTGAGTAAAATTCGGCATGGATACAGCTTATACACTGTATTATTGCATAGGCAATATACATGAACGAATTAATTCATGGCTATATACTTAGGCGGTGGTAGCCTAGTGGTAATGCGAGCGGTATAGCTAGCTTGCGCTAGCGGGTTCAAAATTCGGGTCTCACAGCGCTAATATTTTCATGTGCGAATCATTTTTCAACATGATTTTTACTTGTTTCCTAGCAAGTTTTCGAAAGATATGTGAAGTTGGCCAAGTCAGCACCCGCACTTGGCCAGCGTGGTGGACAGCCCAGTACTGGGACTTAAAAAAGGGCTAAATACTATAAGCTTATTTTCTATATATATATCAAATGCAATCACTCTTTAAATAAGTTGACAATTCAAAAGTACTTGTTACAGATGACTTGTAACATATATTTTTCCCCTATAGGTATGTGTTTGTCAACTCATCCTCGCTTCGCTCGAGTTCGTCCCTAGTGAAAAACAAAAACAAATCTATCCCACGGGAGCCGTAAATGTGTCCGGGATAAAAAGTAGCCTTTGTGCTATTCCAGACTATAATCTATCTCTGTACGTAATTTTATCCAAATCCGTTCAGCCGTTGTTTCGTGAAATTTGGTATGATGATAGCTGGTTATCCGGGTCAACATATAGGATACTTTTTACTGTGGGAAAATATCTCATCTCTTAAAAATCTATACTAACCGTTAGGGTAACATCTAGGGAGTGGGACGAACCCGATCGGCCTCGCGCTGCTGTGAGTCGCTAGTTAATTATATGAACAATATAATCAACACGATTTTCGTGACTGAACTTTCTTATAATGATGTCTAATTGATATGAAACGTAACCTTCTCCATATATTACTTAAAATTACTGAGAATACAACTGTAAAGTATGATGTATTATTGTTGAATGCATTTTTAATTGTGTTTTTTATTGTTTCTCTGGTGTTGGAACTTTGTTATTAAAAGCATTTATAACTCATAAATTTAATTGCGAATGAACCATTAAACTATTTATGGTAAAACTTAGAAGGTCAGTCATATTTATTGACTGGAGATATGTATGTACATTGTGATTAAGATTTTTGTGAAAGTTTTTTTAACCGACTTCCAAAAAGGAGGAGGTTTTCAATTCGTCGGAATCTTTTTTTTATGAGTATGTTCACCGATTACTAGAAAACGCCTGAACCGATTTGGAAGTATGTTTTTTGTTTCAAAGGGTATACATTCCAGGTGGTCCCATATAAATTTTATCGAAATCGGTCAAGCGGTTTTCAAAAAAATCAACAACAATACATGCCTACAATATTTTAAGATATGAATATCTAATAGATAAATATGTATTTTACGTATCGAAATATATTAGAATTGCTTTGCATCGGCTGGCATCGACTTCGAAAATATCTGATTAGGTATATATTCTAAATGAAAACCTCCGTTTAGTTATATTATTTTACATTTTCGTGCCTGGAAGTCGTATTTTTTTAAGTTTTCATTTTTAAATAGGCACTAATTGATATACCTATGTATAGATACAGTTAGTGGTTTTATTTTAATATTTTGCCAGTCAAAATTAATTTTGGTTAGGAAAGAGTTGTTTTACATGAGTTTTGTTTGACTGTTACATACTTGAGTTCTATGCTGAGATGATATGATCAATACAGTCATTTAGTATCGCCAGTTTCTTAAACAAGTATGTATTATGTAAGATGTATTAAAAGTTCAAAAATAAAAATGTTCTCAATTTCTGTCTCTATGTTAAAATTATTAATTAACTAAAGCTTTAGTGATAGCCCGGTGGTAAAGTGCTCGCTTGTGAAATCGATTGAAGTGGGTTGAAATTCCTGGTCTCTCTCCTCTGATATTTTTATGTGCGAATCATGTACAGCATAATTACCACTTGTCTTACGGTGAAGGACAACATCGTGAGGAAACCTGCATGTCTGAGAGAACCTAGCAAGTTTTCGAAAGATATGGAAGTCCGCTAACCTGCACTTGGTCTGCTTGGTGGACTATGGCTTGATCCCCCTCGATTTGAAGGGAGGCCCGTGCCCAGCAGTGAGACGTTAAAGAAGACTGCATAAATACAATAAATGAGTAAACCTTGTTGTTTCAGAACTCATCAACTACACCCAACCTGTGTACGTATGGCGGGATGACCCCAACTCCAGGCAGAACACTATCAAGGAGATCATTGAGCGAGCCACCTCCAAGGAAGATTGGCCACAGGTTTAAACTAAAAATGCTAACTATTCAACTTATTTAAAAAAAAAATAAAAAAATATATAAAAAGATATAAAAAATAAATAAAAGGCGGACTTAATACTGAAACTAACTTTTTCTATCAGTCAGTCTTTAGGCAATACAGTTATTCGACATACTCGTAGGTGCGATAAGTAAAATACGAAAAAACATGCTTATGTGGTTTCGAATAAGAAAATTAAATATATAAATGAACATTATATATTAACAATATATATATAAATACATATAATTGTGTAGATGATGTTCTCCTGACCGATTCCGGCCACGGCGGCCAATCTCATTGAGACTAGCCAACTGCGCAGGAGATATTATAGTGCACAAGTGTACGCGCAGACACAAGTGCACTCTATTCCTGTCACTCTCATACTCCGGTGGGACGACTGCTCGACACGACCAGTGAGAGTTAAGGCGCAGGACCGACGGCTTTACGTGCTCTCCAAGGCACGGGGGTGAAACACCTCCAACTTCCCAAGTCCGGGCTGTTACTGAGACTTACTATATAGAAAGACTCAATAACTAAACTTGGCCTGGGCCTTGGGACTCGAACCCAGGACCTCCGAGTGTGCAGCCGTACATGCTAGCCACTACACCACCGAGGCAGTGAATTGTGTAGATAGACAATATAGTATGTCATGTAAAAACTACTGAACATATCGACTATCAGTATGGGACTTTGATCAATGGTCGCGGCATCATCTGTAGATGGTTTTAGGCTTTATTTTTTTCAATTTCATATACTCTCCTTTTTTTATTTACTTTTTTAAATATAAAGAAAAAAACAAATATACATTAAGATCTCTGAAGACCAAAAAAAAACATTTACGTACGCCCAACAAAGCGGGCGGATGACGCGTAGTTAAATAATAAATATAAAATACATGCAATTGTACAATTTGAGAAACCTTCCTGCTTTATTAGAAAGCGAAAATAGCTCGAAGGATAGCCCGAAATAAGGATGCCCAATTTTTTTGTATGGGATCGGACTGGACTATTATAATAGTGTCATTTGTGATTAGTAAGATTTAAATCTAGATATTTAAGAACTTATAATATTATTATTATTCAGGTGCTGATCTTTCCGGAAGGCACTTGCACAAATCGATCATGCCTGATAACGTTCAAGCCCGGCGGGTTCTACCCCGGCGTGCCCGTCCAACCCGTCACCATCCGTTATCCCAACGCTAAGGACACCGTTACGTGGACCTGGGAAGGACCTGGCGCGTAAGTAATTATATATAACTATTATAAATGCGAAGGTTTGTATGTGTATGTTTGTTACTCCTTCACCTTAAAATGGCTAGAAGGTATAGGATACTTCTCCATTTTATCATCGCTATAATTTTTTTCACACTATGCCTAAATGATTTTTTGTTAGAACCAAAAAATACGATAAAACCGCGGAGAATCGTTCAATTTGAAATATTAAATGTTCGTGTAAATTTAATAAAGTATTAAAAAAAATCAAATTATGAAGTGTTTAATGCAAAAAAGTAATATGGTTATCATAATTTTGAATTTCACATAATTTGGTTGAGCCGTACATTATAAAGAAATAACTAATACAATCATTTGTTCTCGCAATTATCTTTGTGGTCTTAAACGTTTCAGATTCATAAAATGAATAAAAAAAAGTAATTATTTCCACTGAGAAGAAGAAGAATATTCTTTCGGTATATTTTCTTCGGGCTGAGGCATTTTTCTCCAAACTCCTGGCAGAGTTTTGGCAAACAAAAAGTGCATTTCTGTAGTACCAATGTCTATTAAAGAATTTTAAATTTGAATAATTTGTTCAAATCTAGTACCACATGAGCTGAAGTCATACGCGATAACCACTGGGCCAAAGAATAATTCCGATCAGCACCATATCACCATAAGCACGATATTTAAACAAAATGAAATATTTCTTCCAGACTGAAGTTGCTATGGCTGACTCTAACCCAAGTGCACAGTTCGTGTGAGATTGAGTTCCTCCCAGTATATTATCCCAGTGAAGAGGAGAGACGCGATCCCAAACTGTACGCTAGGAATGTTAGAGATGTCATGGCAAAGTAAGTATACGAATGTTTTGATGTTATTTTTTTATACTAATTAGCGACTTTATGTACGTTTTAACCGTTAGTATGAAATAGAAATCTTTGAGTTTCTCTGTTATTCTGTACTATAATATGCATGTATTTTACATATAAACCTTTCTCTTGAATCACTCTACCTATTAAAAAAAACCGCATCAAAATCCGTTGCGTAGTTTTAAAGATCTAAGCATACATAGGGACAAGCAGACAGCGGGAAGTGACTTTGTTTTATACTATGTAGTGATGACCTTTTGAGACCAGACCATAAAATGTCTAGGAAATTAATAAATCGTACTTATGCCATAAATAAATGTTTATTATTATACAAAAGTTTACTCATGGAGACCAGTGATTTTGAAATGACGTAACTGTGTGGAAAATAGTGTAATATATGCAATAGCAGTTGCCTACTCTATGTACATTATCTCTATGGTAATATATCGTTATGCTTTCTTCCTCCATCTTAGAACAATAATAAGGCTAAAAATACTCAACTATGTTTCTTGGACCTCAGAAAATTTACTCATAAGAATATTCACTAGGAATATTCACAATGTTATTTCTGTCTATTCCGTTATCAAAATAGTATAAAGATGAAAAGTACTAATAAAATTACTAATTAACATTTTTAATTTAATATTACATTTTACTTTTACAGGGCGTTAGGCGTCCCAGTACTGGACTATACATACGACGACTGCCGACTCATCGCTCGAGCCAAGCAGATCGGAATACCCTGCGCCGTGTCCTGCAGGGAAATCTGCGAGCTTAGGGCACATCTAGGGTGAGATGAGATTTTTATTTAGTAACGTTTAGTATATGTTTTAACGTTTAGTATATATTTCCCAGAGATGAGACATTTTCCTGCAATAAAATTATCCTATATGTTGACCCGGATAACCAGCTATCATCATACCAAATTTCATCAAAATCCCTCGAGAGGTTTTTCCGCAATGCGGTCACAGACAGACAGACAGAGAGACAAAAATTCTAAAAACTATATATTCGGCCTCTGTAGCGATAATAATGGCTATTTCAATAAGATTTTCCAAAAAATATTTAGTGTACAGATACGACTCAGAATTTTATTATATGTAAAGATAGTTCTATTTAGGGTTGCTAAAAATAGTTTTATTTAGAATTTACTAATAATGAAACATTTGCAGTTTGGACCGATCGCACCTGGAAGTGCACCTGGCGGGGCAGGGGCTCGGCGGGCGCGCGCGCTGGCTGGCGCGCGAGGAGTTCGCGCGGCGGCTGGGCGTGCCGCTGGACCTGCACGCGCAGCGGCTGTTCGACTTGTTTGTTCAGGTCTGTATTTATAATTAGGGAAACGTACAGTGTCAAGGATGGATCCAGGATTTATGGTTTTTTTTTCTGGAAGGAGCACAACGGGCGAACGGGCAAAAAATCTACAATAACAGTTAGAAATAAACTTCAAGTATGATACTTCAAGTCGAGTTTATTCCTACTAGTTCAAGTATGTATAGGAAGGTGTATGAAAATGTCAAAATAATAGAAAAATTAAATGTTTAATAAAGACAGTTTTCTTTTATGTTTCCTGTTAAATATGTCCAACACTTCATTAGCGTCCATTTTTGTCGGAATGTCTTGATGGACATGCATTAAAGTCAATTCATTCAAAAGCTCTTCTGTCATCCTGTTTCGAAGATATGACTTTAATCGGCGTAAGATAGAGGAAGACCGCTCGGCAGTGCTCGTAGTCACTGGAAACTTGCACAGCAATTGATAAAAATACCGTATTGGGCACATGCCCCCCCATTAAATCCGCCCCTGTACATTGTTACAACACAAACAATAAATAACAATAATAATAGTATAGTAAATACACCAATAAAGTTTCCACAGACAAAAGATTCATTTAGTAAAAGAGTATTTAAGATTTAACAAAAACGACGACACTTGAATTACATATATTAGCAAAACATTGAAATATTAATAAGATTTGAAGTTAAATTATAAATTGTAATCACGATAGGACCTATACATAAATTTATTTTGAGCAAATTTTGTTCTTTTAATGATATGGTATATTTATTTTGTAAAAAGAAGGGTCTTATAAGTTTAATGTGTATTTGTGTGTCTGTCTGTGACATCGTAGCGCCCAAACGGATGAACCGATTTTAATTTAGTTTCTTTTGTATGGTGACTTGATCGAGAGTGTGTTAGCTCAATCAAGAAGATCCATTCAGCAGTTTGCAGACTATCGGATCTTTTCTTGATAGTAAAAGGATATGACTAACTTCCACAAATCTAATCATTAGACATTGTAACGATATGGTAACCTTGGCCTGATGCTGCAGCGTCACCTGGAATCTACAATCTCTTTAATTATAATGATTGCACCCAGAGGTCGACGGGCATGGTGTACTTCCCCGACTACCTGCTGTGCGCGGCGTTCCTGTCGCTGCTGCACGCGCCGCTCACGCAGCTGCTGTCTATCGCTTTCAAGGTAGGTTTTATATGGATTGAATCAAATCTCAGGTCTCGTATTCTGATATTTTTGTATGGGAATCATTTCCAACATGATCACCACTTGTCTTAAGGTGAAGGAAAACATCGTGATTCGTGAGGAAACCTGCATATCTGAGAGTCGGACATGTAAAGTTCGCACATTCACTTAATCAGCGTGTTGGACTATAGCCTGATCTCTTTCGTATTGAAGGGAAACCCTTGTCCAGCAAATAAGAAGTGGTAATCATTTTACAAATGATTTACGCATAAAAATATCGGGCCGAGAACCGGCATTCGAACCTGCCCCACTCATATCCTCAAGCGAGCGCGTTACCACTGGGCTACCGCTGCCTTTACACTTTACTATACCATAGACTAACTTGCCCCCAGCTGTACGACCCAGCGGGCAGCGGCCGTATAAAGAGCAGTACGTTCGAGGAGATAGCGGGCAAGTGCCTCGGGCTGTGCGCGGAGGACGCCGCGCACGCCTTCGCGCAGGCGGACGAGGACGAGAAGGGATATATCACTTATGGTATGATTTACATTACTATAGATAGGCTAGACTCTTGACTTTTTTTTCTCTCATAGACCACTTCAAAATTTAGCTGGTTCCGGTGGACCCCCTGCAGCTACATTTCTACCATATTCCCAAAACTCGATAAAAAATGTGAAGATTCCGTCACCTGGGGGCCCCCGTTGAATCTCCCGTGGACCCATCTGGGTCCACTTGGAACACTTTGGGAACTAATGGTCTTGACTCTTGAATAACTAGGTAGATATAGAGAGTCAATTTCTTGTTCTGTGAACCTTCCGTTTACATTAAACTGTTTAATCGTGCGCAGTTTGAAAACAACTACCAATTTCGATAGGATTTCATACTGGTAAAGTAATTTAAATGAAAATAGCTAAGTGTCATATAAGTTAATAGTGTAGATCCAGATATCTATCTTAAAAACCCCATTCTTCGCAACTTGGAACGCTTGGTATGGGAGTCATCTATGTGGAAGATATGAATTACTAGCTAATTACTCTTACTCTTGCTTCACTCGGGATCGTTCTTAGTGAAAAACCAAAACAAATCTGTCTCATGGGAACTGTACATTTTTCCGGACTTAAAGTAGCCTATGTGCTATTCCATACTATAATCTATCTCTGTTCCAAATTTCATCCAGATCCGTTCAGTCGTTTTGGCGGTTTTGAGTAACAAACATCCATCCATCCAAACTTTCGCTTTTGTAATATTTATGGGATTGGTTTATGGGATTCGTTTAGTTTTGTAAATTTTTTTCTACTTTTACTGAAAAATAAGATTACTAAAAATCTGGCAACTGCTTATTTAGATGGCGCTACTTAAACTTTCATAGTTATTGTTCGTTTATTTAAATTCAGAATGAATTTTGCAATACTACATCTGCACTACTATCATAAAGAGGAAATATTTAAATATTTGTATGTTTGTAACGAATAAACTCAAACACTACGGGATCGATTTAGATGAAATTTGGTAAGGAGATAATTTGAGACTCTGGGAACGACATAGGATATTTTTTATTCTGAAAATCATCCCTTAAGAGGGTGAAAATGGGAATGAAAGTTTATATGAGGAAATAACTAAAACAATCTTATATTGATATTTTCAGACGAATTCATAGCCTTTGCTCAAAAGAAGAATGAATTCTCGTTCATCTTTGTGAGCGACACTTCCCATAAACCGAAACTTAAGAATCAGTGAGATTTACACATACCGACGGTAAGTAGTCGGGTACCTTAGATTATAGATGGGAGTACTGGAGATGGGGGTTTTTAGGGGTCTTGATTGAAAATAGGAGGGTGGGGTGGGGGAGGGGGGGGGTTTAGTTTAGTGTTGGTGGGTAAAAGAAGGGGTTTTTGATAATGTAGCTGGCAGATTTTGACAAACTTAAGCCGGTCCGGTTCAAATTTGTTACTTCTTTTGTTATTATTTAAACAATTAATTTATTGAACCGCATAGTATGCTATCGCTACTTGTACCTCACTCCGTATGAAGGCAATGTTACATAGTTTTGGCTATAGGTTAATTTGGTATATTATTTTTTGTACCAATTTCAGCGATAAATAAACTATTTGTTTGTCAAGACCTTATAAAACTTTTATCTCTGTGTACCTCCATAAGGATACGGGACAGATTCGAACCTTGTTAATTCAACTGCTTGTGCGTTAAAAAAATATACAAATTAAAAAAAAAAAACAACTTCAACTCATATTTCCCGCTAACAATTGCCATTCATCACAAACATCACAATTTCTAAACCCCAAACATATATTTTTAATGCACAGCCATATTGATTTACCGTAAGAGGTTCGAAATGTCGTGTATCTATTTATTTTTACAATTTTTATAGTATAATGGGATGATTTATATATATGTACCTTACATGTTCTTCTTTATTGCTACACATTTATATTCCGTAGTATAAGTCTAGATATAAATGCAATTTGCGTCTTATCTATCGGTCGATATTTAGCCGATTGTTTTGATAATTTGAAATTTGTACGTTTTTAAATTAATCGATTAGAAAAGTACATATTTCCCTACAATTCTCATAATGATCGGCTCTTACGTGTATCGAACGATTGAATAATATGCATCATAATTTGAGATTTAATTTCTTTACAGTACAATATGTAAATACTGGCAGTGACTATAAAATAAGTTTAAATTTTATTGTCATATGCAAATTTCACCATTGTAAATATAATTTTAAGGTGTAATAATTTCCTTTTAATTTAATGAATGACAACCCTTCGAAGACGTCAAATGAATGGAACGAATGAATGATTGGAAAGTCATTTAATTCATTCACATTCACTCGAAAGTTTTTAGGGATTGAAATGGCAATAAACAATCAACTTTTGGCGATTTCAAAACTTCCCACGGGGAGTAATTAAGGAGTAAAAATTATATTTTTAGTCTTTCTTTACTTTATTACTTGATTTTAATGTCGTGGGTTAGTTATTAGATCGATCTAAAGATGATTTTTATGTATGGCAATAGCCACTTTAGGGCCCAGTGGTGTTTGCTCTATAACATTTAATCCCTATAGCTTTTGAATTGATTTTGAATGTATTAAATTAGGTTTTGCTTCTGTTTGACGTTTTTGAAGCTGAAAACGGAGACACGCCATTAAAGAATGTGATAGAAATGTATTTATAGCATGAATGCTAGTTGATGAGAGAGGGTTAAAAAGTAATATATATAGGTATGTGAGCAAAGGTAATAATAACAAAAATCATCACAATTCACAGCTTGAAAGTAACTATATAAAAATCAATGAGTAACTTAGAAAATATGACATTTACACCAGTGAACTAAATTTTACCAAAAAATCTCCACATTAATATCCAACGTCCAGTAAAGAACTGCGATCTTCCACTCAATTTTAGAGAAAAACTTGCTACAATTTTTCTACCCAACTTTTCAAAGAAATGTCAAACTTTCCTGCGAATTAATATTGACAAAGGAGTCGTGAGAGTGCGAATTAATATTGTCATCATTGACAAAGGAGGTTTCATACTAAAATCGAAATATACCAACAATTTATTTCAATTATTTAACGAATGACTTTTTCGCTGGATTTAATTATATTTATTTAAAGTGATATTTTTAAACAGTTATTTCGTTAAACTCCAACTTGACATTTCATTAAAAATAACAATATATTTTTTATTGATTTTCCCTTTTAAATAAATATCGTGCTATACCAAATGAGGAGAAAATCTAAATAGTTGCAAATCTAACTGAGCCGTCCGTTGTCACCTTTGAGCAATAATTGCGAATTCTTAGATTTTCTTTTCATTTTGGAAACACAATTGCTTTCATCAAATGTATTATTGGTTGTATTATTAACTTAAGAAACGTTAAAATAAATTATTTCATATTTTATTTTCATTCTTACTTTAATTTTAGAGCTGAAAGTGCATTTTAAAATCGAGTTACTTTTATTTGTAAATATTTTACTTTAAAATAAAGTATCTACCAAATAACACATTTGATAATTTATGTTTACTATTTAATTTATAATCGATATTGTATATTTTATTAGTTAATCGTTTTACAATCGAGTTATTTAAGTTAAGTAATATTTAACCTCCAAGTCGATACTCATATTGTAAATTATAGATTATAAAAACCTGTACAAATACTTTGAAATTACTCAAAAGAAATCACTGGCTAATTCAAAACTCGCCCTAAAAATAATAATCTTAAAATCTTCCACATTAGCATAGTTAATTATGATTAAATATTTAATAGCTGTGGCCAAAAAGGAAAATATGTAACAAACGGACGACATTATCCATATGTAGAAATAAAATCGATCGCAGTAATTCGCTATTGTGAAGCTTCGTAATATCTTGCCGGGGATTTCTAATGATTTTCTTGCCTTATAGTATGAGTTCATCCCCAAAAATCGAGATGACTCAGTTTACGATGGAAGAATCTCGTTGTTTTCCCCGTCAAGTTTGATTTTTTTTCTATATAACCAGGTAATGGACCACGTTTGTATTGTTTCGCCTTTTTGTTCCCATAGCTAGTGAATATTTAAATATAAGCTTTTTAAAATATCGTAATTTTAGACCGTACATGTTTTTTTTACATAGAATAAAGTTCTAATTGTCAGTTGTCAACTTTGTGCATGGGAAAAAATTACGTACAGGTAACAAAAAAGTTAAGGCTTATTCAGGCTGTATAGATTTGACTCTTATTATACTTTTTTCTTTTTAAATTTAATTAATCGTTAATATTTATTGGAAATATTTTTATATGAAGGTGTTATGATTTAAACTGTTTATATTCTTTTAGAGATTACTATACATTTATTTTTTATGTTTAGTTTGTACAAAATATTATTGTTCTTATTTAACTTTTTTTTGCAAGTTATTTTTAGATTTTTTGTTAAAATTTTGTTAAACTAGAACAAGGTATATTGTTGTATAACGAGTGTCAAGTAAAACTTTATTCTGTGAACTCGGTTATTTTGAAATTATATTCGTTTTTGAATTATTTTGTGTGTTAACTGAATGAATAGTATTATATTGAGATTTTGTTACGTATTATGATTAGCATTCCTTTGTTGTTGTTTTTAATTTTAAAATGTGAAATGTACGGCGAATATTTATTAACAATAAATAATTAAAAAATATACAGTGTATTTTATTTTAGCCACAAATAGAAATGATTACTCAGAATTTCCCAAATAAAAAAACAGTAAGTGTACTTGCCCCGACCCGGGATTTGAATCCAGGACCTTCCGATCTGTAGCCGTACTTTCTGGCCACTACTACTGGTCAGAATAGTAACAGTATCCGTCCTATTTACAATAAATATAATTGAATGTGTATATAACATTTTATATCTGTACTGCTAATCGCTGAGGTATTACTTCATTTGGAGCTAATGCTAAAACCAGGTCATAATAATTCTCAAAAAAATCATGGTCATCGGAACTGATACCAATATTTAAAATTTCAATTCTTTAGGATAAGAGGAAGTGGTACTAATTCAGCTAGCAAGATTTGACCCATACAAACATACCGACTAACAAACGTTGCAAGTTAAATGAAAGCTTGTAGTAATTTAAAAAATACATTAAAATTCTGCAAATATCATGCTATAAGGCTGTGCTCATATTATAAAGAGATATCTGAAGAGATATTTTTTTGTTTGTTTGAAAGCGTTAGACTCAGCAGCAACTCGAGTTAAACTAATTTTTTTGGTATCTTTGGAAAAAAATATGAGAATAAAATTATTACAATGCGCGCGCACACCGACAACCAAAAAGCGACATGATGAAGTTAGCTGCATTCTTTTTACAAATAGAGAGTTATAACATACGGGATGAAATTAGCTATTTTTGTTCAGTTACGCCCAAGAAGTATAACTCCTTACGTGCGTACATAAGTAAACACACGTTTTTATTTATTTTATAGCCTATTTATTTATGACGGTTAGAAGCAAAGTAAATATACATAGGCTACGCGAACAAATCCGTGATAAAAACTAAATATTTTATAAAAATAAAAATATGCAATAGATACAAATTTATTTAGACGTAATAAATAACTTATGTTTTATTCCATTTATAATATCTAGCCAATTAGTTTAGGTGGTCCAAATTCTTCGTCATCGCTGTTCTCCTCTCCCTCCCCTAACGCCTTCCTATACATATCCGCGATATCAAATATTCTTTTCACCATATCCGTTACATCCATATTTATCGCAACACATCGTTCATAAACAATAAGAAAGTAAAGAAACTTATAATGCAAGGGAAATTTCATCAACGTTGCATATATGTTATCTATTTTGATTCTCATTTGCATTAAAGCTCCGTACAATATAGCAATATTATATGGCAGGTCCTTAGAATATTTCATCCTAAGTTCCCTCGTCTCTTGGAGTTTGTATCTGGTGCCATAAATCGACTGTTTCATCAAATCTAAAGTCTTGTTGTAGAAAAATGGCACGTGGTAATAAGCTTCATTTCTACGTCTTTGAATTGTTTTATTTATATATGCTTCTGTTTCTTCGTTTTTTGCTTTGGCTATACTTAGAATATGATTTTGGGTGTCCATATCGAGGAAACTCAAATCTATGTTTTCATTTGTTCCATCTGCAGTTGAATTTGAATTGCCATAGAAAAAATCTAGAGTCATATTTTCGTTGATTTGCGTTATGTTGCCTGGTTTTGATGCTACGATGTTGCTTATAGCGTTTATGTCTAGTTGAGAGATGTTTGGTTCTTTCAAAGAATAAATTGAATTTAGATCTGAAAATATTAAGAAATAGGTATTATAATTATGTAGACAAAAACATTAAAGGTTTTGTGTTGGTGGTGGTGGTGTTTAAAGCAAATTTAATTAAAATAAACATACACATATTTAGATTAAATAATAAAAGTTAAGTAATTTTGTTGTATATACAATTTAAATACGTAGGTATACAATATACATCTACTTATCACCGAATAAATATTTGATAAGTACTCACATATGACTAGTCCAAGTGTTTTTAGCATTTTTGCAAATGGCAAGGTGTAAACTCATTTTCCGCAACATTAAGAAACTGAATTAAACGATAGGTGACATAATTTTATAATATGATATTTTTTACTAAGACACAGAGACATCACAATAACGTGGAGTTTATTACAAGATATACTGTGTTTAGCTCTTTTAAACATCCTACTGCTAGGCACGGCCCTCCCTTCAATGCGAGGGAGATCAGGCCATGGACCACCACGCTGGCCAAGTGCGGGTTGGCGGACATCACGTCTCGAAAAATTGTAAGGTTTTCTGGGACATGCAGGTTTTTTGGTTGGATTTTTGGTTCCCGACGTTTCAAATTCTTTACAGGAATCATGGTCACGGGAGAGATCAGTCTCTCAGTCCGAAAAGATAGTTTACTTATGTAATTCTAAATTGATTTTACAGAGAATTTCTCCGGCGTATAGTAATAAAGTGGGCGAATTTCGTTAAGTGTGTCCGCAGGCACTTGTGCTGTATTTATTACAGTATATATTAATTTCACTGTTATATATAAATAGCCTTAGCAAGTAATCCTCTGAATTTAAAGGAAAACTGAACCAGCTGCACCATTAACTAATCTACTTCGTTGGCCGGTCGGAGTTTTTCAGTTTTTTAGTTCTAAAAAGTCCCTCTTCTAAAATGAGTAACAAAAACAAAATAAAAAAATCTATTGTTTTATGATTTATTCTATTAGATAAAAATAAAATCAATTTTTATTAACATTTGGCGGTGCAGAAATAAATATTCCATGTCGATAGTCATATCTCTCATGCAACTTCACTAGTACCCACCAAAGATAGACGAAGTCAACGTGTAACTTCACCGCCTTGTGATGTAAGATTAAAAATGGGTTAACTGTCAAGAACACTCCACCTGCACTAAAAACAAAGAATTTTATTAAAATCTAGGATTTTGTATAAACCACTTTTGTTTCTCTCAACAAAACGAAAGAGTTAGGAAGTAAATATATACTAGCGTCTCACCCTCGTTTCGCTTCGGGTTCGTCCCTAGACTAAACAAATCTATCCCACGGGAACCGTAGCTTTTTCCGGGATAAAAACCTCTGTGCCAAATTTCATTCAGATCCATTCAGCCGATCTGGTGTAAAAGAGTAACAAATATACATCCATCCATCCTCACAACTTTCACATTTATAATATTAGTATGAATGGATTATAATGGATCAGATGACTAGTTTTAGTCTTGAGTGAAAATTGACCTGATTCATATTATTTATCTACTATACATACTCGTATATTATAATATCTATTACATAGTTAGCAATATTAGCCACTGTGATCAATATCTGTCTATAAAAAGACTTGATTATGTTTTCTGTGCCGATATTAGTTTCAATAAACGCAGAATATGATATAGAATAAGATATTGGTAGAATAGACCAAAAAATCTGAACTTAATCTGAATGCTTAATTCTGGAAAAACCGTTACTTTTTACATTAACTTCCACAATTAATCTTCTGTATATTTCATAATATATTGTTAACTCTACAAAAAAATAGTGTCCACTAATATAGTTAAAAGTACATACTTTTCTTTTTTGATCATCGTCGTATATATATCTAGCATTTTCTTCCATATACGTCTTAAGCGTCGGTAGAGAAAAGCTATACGGTATGAAGTGTCCGCTGGATTATAGTAAGCCTCGTTCTCCACTTGCTTTATTTTATGGCGCGCCATATATATAAGTTGGAGCATTAAGTCATATAACTTGTTTTGAACTAGAAGTTTAGAGCCTTGCCTCCATTGTGACCTGGACCCTATCCATGCCAGCCTTCTTGTATCTTTTACATCATCCTCAGCTGTGATATTGAAGCTAAGTCCTTTAATTTTCGATACAATTGTGGAATAGTTTAATTTGTCTAAATTAATAGAAAGGTTTTTTATTATGATATTTGGGGGTTTCGGAATATTATCAAATTGATTTGTTTTTGATAGAGTTCTAAATAAATCTTCAACTTTAACTTGATTTGAGGCATATATTGGTGTTAGAATACCTGAAAAATATTGTTATGGCTACAAATCATCGTATAATATTTTTGTAAAATAACTGAATTAATTGAAATTGCTTAGATCCAGTAAGATTTCAGGTTCTCATTTCCCCATTAAAATTGTTACTATATAATGAATGTACCCATAAAAATTCAGATGTAAATTAATATCTTCAACAGTAGGTAAATGCCCAGTATAACCCCGACCTGCCTAGATTCAATATTTCTTTACGCAAGGGAGAAGAAAATAGTGATTATTCTTATCTTCGTTCTTTTTTAATTTTCGTATATGACATAAATACTTTTTTCCATTAATACACACATTCATATGAACAGAAATAAAATCATAACATTATAGATAGAACTACGAGTACATGCACTTCTACTGAGCCAAGACACTTTTAGCAAAATATAAACCAGGATTATCTACTAAATTTATTGAATTACTCACTTGTTATAATAAATGTAATTAGCATAGTTTGCGTATTATTTTTAAGTTTTCCATGAAGAAAGAGTTTGTTATTCTCACGGTAATTTCATCCTAACACTAATGTGATTAAAAATTTTATAGCGTGAGGAGTAAATGGTAGACTCATGAAACTTTTATACTTACAATTAATCAAAACCTATTTTATTCTTATACTAGCAACTCACCCTCGCTCCGCTCGGGTTCGTCCCTAGTTATGTTTTAAGGTTTACGATTTCTCTAGAGATGAGATATTTTCCCGCAGTAAAATATATCCTATATGTTGACCCGGATAACTAAGTATCATTCCCAGATAGACAGACGGACAGACAAAAATTCTAAAAATTATAAATTCAGCGTATCGATAATAATGACTATTTCAATAAGATCGTCCAAAAAATATTAATGTACAGATTCGACTCAGAATTTTTTATACGTATAGAAAATGGTAGTTAGAATTATCTTTCTCCATTTTGGTCACTAAAGACTAGCAAACTTCAAAAAGATTGAATCGGTTAGTCAAATAAATATTTGCTTTTAACTATTTTCCGTCTACAGTTGGCTGGGAAAACCGCGTTCTTTTTATCCGTAATTTCTACGGATTTCTTGGTCGACGCATGTTGGTTTGAGGTTTCACACTATCCCCTCTTCCTTCTTTTTTTTTAACGCTAGAAAATTCATGCCACCTTATCTGATCAAATATACACACATATGTATTATGTAGGCATATTTTAGTATAAGTTTTACCTAACTGCCCAAAAAAAACTAACTTTGGAGTGTATTTACGCTGTGTGTTCCATATTCATATGTTTATATTTACATACTGATTTTCACCCGCGGTTCTACTCGCTTGGAAGTTTCGTTAACAAAAATGCCTTCGACTATGTGCTAATCTAAAATATAACTTATAGAGAATTCTAAAAAAGTAAAACAACAAAATCTTTGGTAAGCAAATACAACTTCTGCTTCTGCTATATTATCTTTAATATATAATAATAAATTTCCCTTTTAATGAGAACAATGCTCATCACATTGATGGCCTTGTTATCCCTGGCATCTGAATATTTTGAGGTGGTTCTTTATCTATTTCTTGTATCCACTTGATAGTGTCTCCGATATCGACGTCATATCTCACCATCTTCTCATACAGTGTTAGTAGCGAGGTCAGTTCACGAAATTTAGATTTTTCCTGTTCAACCGCGTAACTTACTAATTTTTGTTGCTCATACTTGATTCTCCTTAATCTATTGCATAAATAACCAATTTTGTACCGTTTGTCCATTCGTATCTCATCTTTTATATTCAACGTTTTCTTAATTTGATATCTTGTATGGACCAAAAATTGTATGTTTAAACTTACTAGCTTCTCTTTTTTTTCTGCCTCGTGACCATTTTGCCAGAACCACCACCACGTAGAGTCCTCGGGGTCATTAAAACCGTAGTATTTACCATTGTATCTTCTTGTGGCGTTATTCAGTAGTTTTGTTATTTCATTAAACTCTTTTACATCATGAAATTTTTTATTTACATTTAAATATTCGAAATGCCAATCAAAAGTTTTTGTTGTTTTTTCAGGAATTTCTTCTGATTCGCTTGATATATTTTCATCTAATGGTGGCAAAAACATATCATTCATATTGGTCAAGTCCCCGAACAAAAGACGTTCTACTCCAAAGCTTCTATCATTTATTACTATGAATGGGGTTTCATTTTCTGTACACGAACCTATGTTTTAATTCATATATTACTAATAAATTAACACTAAAAAAACATTTTTTTTAAATAAGTGATTTCATCATATAAATAGTGTAATAAATGAGTTTTATTTAATTTAAAGTTTATTTTTTAGGTATTTAATTGTATTCCTTTCAACAAACCCTTTCATTTGATCTCCATATCATGGAGGAATAAAAATAACATAGTCTGCCATCGTTGGGAGTACGCACGTTAACAGTTTCATGGTTTTTTTTGCGCAAAACCCGGATACTTTTTCCATAATAAAAGCCTAAGAAACTCCTTATAACATCAGATCTCTGCCAGTGAAAGTTCCGTTAAAATCGGTCCAGCCATTTCGGAGATTAGCCAGAACAAACAGATAGAAGAAAATTTAAAAAAATAGTACTGTATGTATTTTATATGCATTTATAAAAAGATGTTATTTCAACATTACCAACAGACACTTAAATTTTATTTATCTGTATAGATAAAGATTTTTTTGAATTGGATGAGTAGGTACTTTTAGAGATTGCCATATGTGGAGACATATGTTATCTCTTCATAATGTGAATTTTAGATATACAATTTTACATATATATGTAAAATTGTATATCTAAGATTATTGTTAATGCCTTTACTATAAAGAGCAAAAAATATATGTATGTGTAAAAATAATATATGTGTGTGTAATGTGTATATGTATGTGCTTGTTTGTGTGTTTATACTTTTCCACGCTGAAACAGATTCATTGAAGAATGAATGAAGTTTAATATACAGATAGATTATGGTCTGAAGTAACACATAGGCTACTTTTAGGAACGCACCCTAAATTAGAGTTACTGGCAAATTACACTCGCTTCGCTCGGGTTCGTCCCTCGATTGTTTCCCGATACAAACTTTCATCCCCATTTTCACCACCTTAAGGAATGAGTTCCGGGATTAAAACTATCATATTCCTTCCCAGGGTCTTATACTATCTTTTTACCAAATTTCATCTAAATCCGTATATATAATTTCATCAAAGTTCCGTAGGTTCGGAGCGTATTCGGTACAAGCAAACAAAACTTTCCTCTTTATAATATTAGTATAGATTATGGATAAGGCATATATATGTATATATATGGATAGTAATAGTTTTAAAGTTAATAAAAAAACTTACAAAGGTAACTCAAAAATGGGATGAATATTAATATTATTTTCATTTTCAAACTTCATTACCTATAAAGTAGCAATTAACTAGGATTCAATATTTTTAAACACTTTATCGCATATAAAATTTTATAGTGCATTAAATTTATTTTTAATGAAAGCTATTATTTTTTATTGTGCTACAGTTTTAACAATTTCTGAAATAAATGGCGCTACCTGCTTAGTATTATAATATTCATTTTTAATAACTGCCTCGGTGGTGTAGTGGCTAGCATGTACGTCTGCACACTCGGAGGTCCTGGGTTCGAGTCCTGGGTCGGGCCAAGTTTAGTTATTGAGTCTTTCTATATAGTAAGTCCTGCGCCTTAACTCTCACTGGTCGTGTCGAGCAGTCCTCCCACCGGAGTATGAGAGTGACAGGAATAGAGAGTGCACGTTGTGTCTGTGCGTACACGCGCTGCACTATAATATCTCCTGCGCAGTTGGCTAGTCGCAATGAGATTGACCGCCGTGGCCGGAATCGGCTAGGAGAACATATTTTTAATTCTAATTCAATCAGCGAGAGAATGCTAGCACAATTCCACGCGGACATGTACAATAATAATAATTAATTATTAATATATACTTTAGTGTACACTTGTTTTGTATATATAATTAAGATTTTTTGTAATTTCAATATACTGTCTTTTCTTGTAAATAAATGTTTTTTTTTTAATAATTTAAAGCAACTATAATTATTTATACTTGCTTGTAGAGTCGAAAGATGTGTCACTATGTTCTTATATGGAAATATTTCACAAAAGATACAAGGAAGTTAAGTAAAAATGGAAACATCTGCCTTAGATTTTTATTCGTCGTAACATCTTGTTATGAAAATAGCTTACATTTTGGATAAAAACTAAGTTGAATTTTAAATTAATTTAAATTTTATTTCAAATAACAGACAGTATGAGCTATTTAATGAAATAAAAAATTTATATATTCACTTTAATGTATAGCATACGTAAACACGTTATGCATATTTATATATAACATATACACAAAATATGGTTTAGTCTCCCTAGTGTTGACACAATTTTAATAAGAGATGAACAAGAGATTTTACAAGAGAGGCTTTTATTAAGTTAAATTTAAAAATGTATATTCATGGAGAGAGTTTCTTACCATAAAGGTACGATTACGGAAAAAACTATAAAAAATAGCAATATAATATGTATACTGTACAGTATTGATATAACTAATATGTACTTTAAATGCTAAACTCCATATTCTTTTTAGTTTCTTACCTCGAAGTTACAAAAATGGTTCCGTACACATGAGCCTTAACTTTTCTAACCTCATAAACTGTTACAATAAAATAATTTAATGTTAATTTTCTTTTCTATTTCACCATAATAGTTTAAAAATAATAGTAAGTATATAAAATCATTAAAAGTTTAGATAAGGAAAATATTAATCAACAAATTTCCAAGCATGCTTCCTATTGGTCATGACTTGGTTCAACATCCTCTTGCAGTTCTCATGATTTATCACAATCAGATCAACTAGAAGATCTACATCAAACCATAGATCTAGCAACCTTTCGTTTGCCTCCAAAAGATCGATCAATTCATAGCTCTTTACAGCACCCTGTTTTGCCAACGAACATGCTTTGTAGGATTTAAAAGCGAATCCAGCAAATGTCTTACAAGCAGTGTCAGTTTTGCTCATCAAGAATCCCATTTTGTATAGAGATATTTTGTTATATTTTGCTCTTAATATTTGCATCAGGACCATTTTGTTCCTAGCTTGGTAAATCGCTTGCTTCATTAGCTCTAATAATCTATGTCTAAGGCTGAATGGATCGTATTTATTTGAAGTTATATCGCCTGGTGGCTTCCATCTTCTTCCATCTCTCTCAAGAAGTACTTTAGGCTCACCATCACGTACATTTAACTTCAAAAGTTCATCAGTTTCGTCAGTTAAATTTAGAATTTTATTAAATTCATCTCTAAATGTCTTGTTGAGACCATTCAATTTATTGCTCTCCTCGATTTTCCTCCACACGTATGTGGGTTTAAATTTTTGAATATATTCCTTGAAAGTCCGGTTAGTTATTTGGTTGGTTGCTTCCATATTATTGGAGTATTGTGCATTGGTGTAAGTGATTACGACCAACGTTCCAAGGAAAATAATTTCTACGGCAAAAATCATACCAACTTTCACTACTTTATATAAAACTATGCTGATAATATAATTTTGAACGATATCTATTATAGATTGTACCTATAGAAATGCTTTTTTATAAACATATATATTATCTACAAAATAATAAAACAAAACAAATTAATTGTTAAAAAGTGTTTTTTTAGTATGGAATATTCCTACGTATATTTATTCGACTATATCCATGCAAAAACTTATTGATTTTTATTCATTTGTTACGTTAAAAATGTTAAACCAAAGAAACATGCTTAGCATTTACAATATTAGTAAGTAAAGATAAAATAGAAAGGCCACATTAAGCACTCACTGTATAATCGAGCGATCATTTCCTGCAGAACTCGTAAACGTAACAATTTTCATCAATTATGTGCCATTATAGCCTCGTTATAACTAAGCTATATTCTTTACGTGCATATAAAAATGATTGGTGTTTTGTAAATACCTACTTGTTTGGAGCTATTCCTTATTATATAACTAGATTTCACTCGAGGCTACTATTGTAGTGGTATAAAGGTATAAACTATACCCATTCGGTATATACGTATATACTACTAGCAGAACCCGCGGCTTCCCTCGCGCTTAAACTACAAAAAAACCCTCTAAAATGGTAGGTTTCATACAAATTTTCATTCGCTAGTTTACCCAATTATGGGATGAATTTTGGAAAATGCTAAAACACGTATTTAATTAAAGTAATTCTAATCACAATTTATTTTTTTGGATTATAACGTGTTTTCCCGTGGGAAAAAGATAATTTCCCGCGGTAAAAAGCTATATATAACTATATCCACACAAAAAATCACGTCAATCCGTCAAGCCGTTTCGACGTGAAAGAAAGATAAACAAAAAAATAAACAAACACACTTTCACATTTATAATATTAGTATAGATATACTTAGGTTTGGTAAAATAGTTTAAAATAAAAAAAGTTTTTTCTAAAGTAAAATTAATAAAAAAAATTAAAAACTCCAACACAATAACCTATTCATTGAGGTCATTTCAATGATTGAATTTCAAAGCCGATTATGTCTGCAGTATTTTAGTAAAGAGTTGGGTTAGGTTATATTGGAGATTCCAGGTGACGCTGCAGCATCAGGCCAAGGTTTCAAGGTCAATGTTTTAAGGCCAATCATTGCAATGTAATTTAAGTAGGGGGTTAATAAGTTTCGAAATTTATTAGATCTGTGGCAGTTGATCACACAACAACAAACACTTCCGATTGAGTCACCTTTCACACAAAAAAAACTAAATTAAAATTGCTCAAAACAACCCTCTTTTTGCATCAGGGGTTACAATGGGAGAAATATTCTTAAAATTGCTATCTGTCTAAAAGTTCTTTACGTAAAAATCCCTAACCGAATTCCACAGATTTTTGCATATACATGTTATATTTTTGCATAAACTTACGAGTACATAATTTTATGATTTAAGCTAATAATTGGAGATACATTGTTAAAAAGTAATTGTTAAAGAGAAGTTATAGATTTTTATGACGATATATGCTAATCGTTGTTTTTACCATAAATGTGTTGTAAATACTGTTTTTTTATTTACTATTTATGTTAGTCGCTTACGTAAAATACGAGCACTATACTGCAGGTGTGTACAGTATTTCGTCTTCGTCTCATAGAGCATTTTGACGATAATCCGAAGAACTGGAGACAGATCATGAACGATTAAAGGGTTTACGCACCCTTGGAGCATTGTGATTTAGTGTTACTACTGAGAATTTTAGCTACACGCAAGAATCGAACCCAGCCATTTCAGCTAAAGCAACTAAAAAGATTAAAATATCAATATATATTCATATTACATAGAGAGATAATATGAGCATTTAACTTTACTTTCTAGTATTTTCTAGACTGCCCTACTATGACTTGGAGTGTTTGTACAAAGATATAGAGAGAGACTCAGACTAAAACTAACTTAACGAGATTTCTTTGTAAATAAAGAAAATGTTTTTATGTTAAACAATTTTTAATGTAAAAAATAGAGATGTAAAGTAATTAAAAAAAAACATGAGTCCTATAACACGTTGCACCCTTGCTGTCAGTTTTACTACGAGTATGTCTCCTACTGCATAATACCATTTTCCTTCGCTAACTTGTTTCCATCTTTTTACTTGGCTTTAGTTTTGGTGCAGTTTGATTTTTTATTTTTATAATATATATTTTATTTTCAGCCATATATATATGTGGCTATTATGATTTATTTGATTATGCTATTTATATATATATATATATATATATATATAAATAGCATAATCATTAGCAATAATCATTTTTAAATTATTTACTGACCCTGATTGGTATTAAATATATATATTTTTCACAAATTTCAAAAAATTAGAATCTAAAATCGAAAAACTTTTAACTTTAAATTTTTTTATATAATTTAAATAAAATAATTTAAAATATTGTAAGGTACTTTGGTGCCATTTTTCAATTTTTGAAATCATTTTGTTATTTGTGGGTAGGCTGTCTGTAACAACTATATAATACCTTAGAGACATCTAGCACCTCAGTCGTCGGGAACCAAAAATCAAAGTAAATTCGCGAAAAAATCCGAAAAGATAGTTTTATTTAAAAATATTTATATTTCGATCAATTTTCCTTGAAATCAGTCACAGAAAATGCTTTTATTAGTTAAATGACTGTTAAACGCAAACTCTATCGTCATAATTCCAGCCAATATTGCTCGCCAATTCAAAGTTAGGTAATACCTGAATTATTACACTTGCATCGACTAAAGCTTCTGCGAACTCATATTTTATTTCAGCTGAAAGAAAGGTTGGTCAAATACGGTGTACATTCGTCAATACATCTGTCTCTTTCTCGTCAACGACATTACATATTCTCTATCCTGTTCTTGCTTTCAGCCAAATAGACCAAAGATTATAAGATTTTTAGATTGTAATTTTTATTTTCCGTCTCTTTCGTATATTTTACTCAGCAATCAATTTTTAAATAAAGAGAGAATACGATATGGTTCTCATGTAAATACAACTTAAGAAGCTCGCTTAGTAAATTAAACTATCATATTTTTATATTATTATACATAGAATAGAACGTTTTAATATAACTATTAAAAGTAGAACATAATTAATTAGATTTTATTAAAACCAATTCCGCACGTTACTTAGAAAATTAAATACTTTGTTTATTGCCTAACATCGGTTCTACGTATTATTCTATGATATCGTAGTATCGAAATAGGGGTTTCCTACCCCTCAGTTTCAGTGTAAAAAGGTGCGTTCCACCGACAACACGTGTCTGATATCGGATAATAATAAAAATACGAAAAATATGTAGACGAAATTTTACGCGAAGGGAACACGCGAGACACGCGATGTTTTAAAATATAACAATACCAATATTTTTAACTCTGCCATCTTTGAAAGTTTGGGTTCTTTTTGGTGTCGTGATTTGTGTTTTGAGAATAGAGTTTCAGTTGGGCGTGCTGTAAAATTATAATTACAGGTGAGTGTCGAATTCTTTTTTTTTTTAATTTGTTCCGTGTATTTTTTATCTGTTAAGTTTAATTGCGATCGTGGATAAGCTGTGGATTAAAAGAAGCCTTCTTTTGTTTTAGTTTTTTGGCGGATTTTTAACTGTATAAGGGTTTTTTTTCCTTTTCCAAGATTACGGTTAGATAAGTTACAGATAAAAAAGTTAATTAAGTTAGAGCCAATAAGTTCACATATCATACGAGATAAATATATTATTAGGACTTTTAAATATAATATAGCTTAGGAAGGAAGGACATACGTAATAATTATTATAAAGGAGTATTATATTATAGTATTATAAGGTTTGTATAAACAGTTTTTATTATTTTTAGTAAATACCGTATAAAATCTAAAACAGAGTATGGTCTGCCTGAGTATGCTCATAAAATTTTATTATAATAGTCCCCAGCGGCATCATTTAAGCCGCAAATGACAATAAACGTAATATACAAATAATAAATATAATAATATTTTTTCAAAGCAGCTTTATAAGAATGTTTATTTTTTTGTTTTTTCTATATCTAACTATTAGCCATATCTTTTGTATGCTATATTCTTTTTGCAATATTGCTATCTATCATCGCGCTATGAACGTAGGTAATTAAATTAAACACATAAATAAACTATGGGAGTAGAGCCGCGGATAAAAGCTCCAATCATCCCATTAACTTTTTAAATAAGAAAGTTTGAATGGATGCTTGTTACTCTTTCACGTCAGAACAGCTAAACGGATCTAGATGAAATTTGGCACAGAGATAGATTATAGTCTGAAATATCACATAGGTTACTTTTTATCCCGGAAAAATGTACTATTCCCGTGGAATAGATTTGTTTTTGCTCTTACTGTATGTTAAGTATAGGGTAAAGTGGGGAAATTGGGAACACTTAACTTCTAACGCTCAAAAAATAACTGAAAAAGTCAGAGACAATCAAATTTTATTGCAACACAAATTTTGCTTATGACTATTTTCTTATAGTGACTTTAAAAAAAACAACATTGTATAAGAAATATGAACGAAAACCTACAGTTTTTACGTAAAACCTTTTTTATAAACTTAACAGTTTACAAATATACTAAATTATTGTATATATACATACATATGTAACAAATGCACACTTAATTTTTACTGTACAATTCATTTCATAAATTCTTTCTACCACATCAGGTTAATTGAAGTTATTATAGCAAATAATAATTGACATCCAAGATCGAGATCACTACTTTTGACTGTATATCTGTAGCTTCAAATAAATACTATGTTGACATTAAATATAAATTTTATTTAACAAATAGCGACTCACCTTCGCTCTGCTCGGGTTCGTTCCTAGTTACGTTTAAACGTTTAGTATAGATTTCTCAGACCTGAGATATTTTCCATATAAAAAATATCCTATATGTTGACCTAAACAATAAAAAATATCCTATATGTTGACCTAAACAACGAGTTATCATCTCAAATGTCACCAAAATCTGTCCTGT